TCTGAGGTCTGGAAATAAATAACTATTGCTCCTAAGCACTGGCAATAGTTGAGCACTTTCTAAGGAAAACTTTGCCGAACTTCAGAAATGTCTTGATCACGACCTGAAATCGTGATCAAGACATTTATAGATGGAGGGCTTGTCATTTGCGTCAGTCTGTTAGTGTGTGTGATTGACAAAAAGAATTCTTAGCAATTTTTCGGCTGTGAGATCTGTGGATCGTCGGGAGCGGCAGAACACACCAATACACCATGGCACATCTAATATATACCTATGTACGTACTATGCATACTGAAGTTTGTACAACTGCCTTCTTGAGTCGAGAAATCACTGCAGACTGAACACTGAGAAAGCAGCAAACAAAATGCAGCCACAGTAAACAAATTCCAGAATAAAGCAAGCCACACTAGGGAGAAAGGGAAATTGACAACAGCCTTATAGTTCTAAGCCACAAGAAAATCCATACATATTTCTTAATAAAAAGCTTCTTACTTGTCGAAAAGTTGGAATGCTGTCAGTTTCTCTTTCTAAATATGCTCTTTCACGAACTCGAAGGATATCACAGAACTTATTTGCATTGAGAGCTTTAGTTTCAGGCACGTTGTAAGATAAATAATCAAGGTGTGGACACTCCGACCGACGGCACGTTTAGATAATGTTCGGCTCTTTCATCCTCCTGGCCCCATGTCGCAGTGCCTCCCACACAACTGCAGCCGGCGCATGTACTATAGAATACGAGCTGCATGTGAAGCTTCCGTAATGGCATTGTGCACGTAAGAACTCAGTGTTAGAAGTATAATGTGTTTTTTTTTTTTAATCTTACATGTGCAGCCAATAGCGGCATTGGCCGCACGTGGCATTTTCTGCACATGGCATTTTTCGGTCGCAAGAAATGCAGTATGCGTTTTTACCTTTAGTTGGTAGCAAGCACGGTTTAAAGAAAAATACTGTGAGGTGAAAAAAAGAAAAACGCGCGTTCGCCTCTTCGCCCTATAGGTCTCTTAAGCCCTTTTGTTGCAGCGCCCCCAACAAAGCTGTGTTTGGCGCATGTACTAAAGGCGAACACTATATGGACGCACTCTCTGTTGCGGCGGCGGAGTTTCCACATAGAAATTATTTTTCTTACGCCGTGGTTTCAGGGCAGGCGGCTTGCGAGTGTAAACAGCTGTGTTCTTTGCATTCTTCATGGGTGCGGCTTGCAGTATAAAGTAATGCAAAAGGGCTTGGAGTCCCTAGACTATAATGTTTCCAGGTAGTATTAACACTTTGACAATGAGCACCACCACTCTCAGGGCCTACCGTCAGATGGGGTTATTCAGCAGCAAGAGTCCTCTCTTTTTTTTACTTTCTTTCTCCCTGTACGCAGTTGTTTTTAACCATTAGAGGTACAACTCGCATGTGTATTTTATTTTAAAGAGCTGTCAAGCAGCAGATTGTAGCTTTAAGCCCTGAAAACCACTCCAAATGTATTTGGAAAAACAAAGAAATAAGATAATAGCTAGCAAAGGGATGGCGTGCACGTCATTTATGTTAGCGACCTCTCTTAAAAGTGCGGCCTTGTTATCCAACGAGACCAAGGGCCAAAGGTAATTGGTGCTCTCTGCTTGCAGGACAGGTGCAGCATTGTTTATCTTTCTCTGATCGTTGCCTGTGCTTTATGCCTCCTTCATTATGCCTCATTAGCTGATTATTCTGCATTTTTACTGAGTTTCAGCTTTTATTATCTATGAGCACACAAATACTTACATTATGCAGCGAGCGGTCTGATAACAGTTTTTTTTTTAAGACTATCCTCCGTCTACCCCCAACTTCATGGATAATCTTCCTCTCCCCTTTCTGTCGAGTGCTCCCATTCCGCGGTTTCACATCGAGCAACACTATTGTCCCATGTGCGCGGCATAGGAGCTGCAAGGTCGGGGTCTCAGCGCCCGTACCGCTGTTGGGTGGTGAAACTTATTCAAGGACTCTCCCATTGCTTTTGCAACAGGTGAGAAAGCCGTAAATAAGTCTAGCCTGGCCGTGACTGTAATTACAGTTGTTAAGTGCCCACTATACCATAATTCTTTCTTTTGTGAGTCAGTGTAGGTGTCACGACTTTATCTCGGGAGCGCTTGCAAGGGAATGGATTGAGAGAAAGACGAGAGATGGGCGTGGCAAACAAACACACTCTATCATCCAAAAGATAAAAGGCAAAAAATCAAAAGTGAAAACAAACATTCGGTTACACACAAAGTTATGCAAAGTTACCGCAATAAAGTACAAAGAAAAACAGCTGCGAACCAGTCTCAATTCGTTCCAAGTCCTAGCGGCTACTCCTAATCCAATATAGCGTTTTAAAAGTTGAACGTTCTTACAGTTCATGTCTGTTTCTTTTTGTTGCCGTATTGACGGTTTCCCCGGGTACGTTCTTTACATGCTGCTCCACTTCTTAGGGTCGTCACTGGTTGATCTCGACGAACAAACCGCTCATACTCATCGTCTGTGTCCCAATCTTCGTCTTTATCTTGGGCTTTGCTGAGCTAGGCTTAGCTTGTCATGGACTCCCTTGCTCGTGTGGGCTGCTCCCGTCCAGGGTAGCTGCAAGTCCATCAGCAACTCCTCGGCAAGGATGCAACGAGCCGTCTTATCCAATCTCGTACGTGAACCCGCTGCATTCCAGCGTCTGGCACGTGCCATCTTACTCAGTAGCGCTGCATTTGTAAATCAACACGTGACCCTACTCAGCTGTTTTCTTTGTTGATGCTTTTGCAATTGATTATGATTAAATATGACTTAGTGCTTTGTAATGGGTGGGCCTTTAAATCTCATTGTGCAGTTCATAAGTTTTGATGCATGATACGATTCTACGTGTCTGTCGCAGCATATTACATGCTTCAAAGGGATTCCAAAACAGTGTTTTCAAGTTTTGTTAAGTGTTTCACACCACAAATTAAGCGACACGCTGTATATCAAGACTGCTGTTAACAATTGTATCGTACACTCCTTCTTACGCCTGCCTTGGTTCCTCACGAGATGTGCTGGCATTGCTGGCGATCAGAGAGACCTCGTGAGACCATCAGAAATTTGAGCTTTGCCCAAAAATGACCTCTGAACTCCAAGATTGCATACCAAGAGGTTGCGCGTAATCTTGGAGGCTATCACCCAATGGGGCAGGCAGTACGCACTCCGTCTGGCAGCATAGATGGAGATCCCGAATGGTTTATATTTGCTCCAACAGGTGGCACCACCCTACTAGCCAGTCTTACTTGTGCACATTCCAGAGCCAATCAGATCAGCAGTGGATGACGTCATGCTACCAGAGGATATTGTGCTGTGGATGGGCTGTTGAAAATGTGTTTGGCTTAGCTGCAGTGATCTGCAGGGATTTGCAGCTTTCATTGTAATAAATTCCACAGAGATCGTAAATCTATCTATAAATTACCCTTAAGACATGGTCTACCGGCCAAATTTTTTTGTACAAATCATCAAAACCATTTTAGGGTCCCCTTAAGGAGTCTCCATACAATACATGAGCCTCATATTGTGTTTCTTTCTGAAGCAGTTTCAAGAAATAGCATGGCTCTGATAGAAAAGCGGCTGAGACAGCCTGGCTTTAATTTTTATTCGAGCTGAGGATTTTTATTATTATTATTTTTTATCTTTCTCAATTTTTTGCTCACAACCGACAACACTGGAATTTCTGCAAAACAAACTCTTTAACGTTATCGCATCGAGAGTGAAAAATAAGATGGGACCTAGAACAGAGCCTTGAAAGACACCAGATGCTACTTTTGTGGTGAGAACAAATTGGAATTGAATTAAGCTTACAATACAAAAAGTTACTTTTTGCAAATTGGATGCCAGAGTAGTTATTTCTTAGATAAAAAATAATTTTTAAACCTATGAGATAATAACTAGTCTCAGTAATTACCTAGTACTTATGCAATAGTTATGATTGCATTAAGATTGTGAAAAAACAAAACAAAAAAACTTTAGCCTGTGGTAGCCTGTGGTTCAGGTGCTTCTGAAAAGAAGGATATAAAGTTTGTTTAAGTACGTTCATATAAACCTTCAAAAAACTTCTATGTGGCAGATTTTTTTTGTAAAAACAACAAAGAAGTTCGCATATGAAGTTGTGAGAACACTTGTAGTTTAATCTACTAAGCTTGTAAGAAAAAGAAAGTTTTTTTTGCCATTGCATGATCTTTTTCGAGAGCCTACTTCGAACTCTAAATACTCCGAAATTGTGATTTCTGGAAATAGTCTTTTTTTAAATTTTTCTACTTTTAAGACCCTTGTTTCCCTCAATGCTATCACATTAAAACACTGTATTGCGCCACATGGTTTGCGAGTTTTCTTTCGTTTTTTGTAATGTATTGGCGACCTGCCGTTTTTCTAAAAGTTGCTCATTGTGTATGTCATCTGCTTTAATTATTCGTAATGCTTCTTCAGAGTTATCCCGTTTCTGGAAATAGTCTTTTTTTAAATTTTTCTACTTTTAAGACCCTTGTTTCCCTCAATGCTATCACATTAAAACACTGTATTGCGCCACATGGTTTGCGAGTTTTCTTTCGTTTTTTGTAATGTATTGGCGACCTGCCGTTTTTCTAAAAGTTGCTCATTGTGTATGTCATCTGCTTTAATTTTTCGTAATGCTTCTTCAGAGTTATCCTGGTAAGAGCTTCAGAAGTATTAGGGTGAAAAACCTATTTTTATATTTCTTTGTGTTGTGTTCATCCTTTTCTTTTATTTCCTGTAAAAAGGGGCCATGGACCACATCAGGGCTTGTTTGCTTTTTTCAAAAATTATCATTATTATCAGTTGTAAGTTTAAATTCTACTGACGTGTTAGCTTGTAATAAATTTTATAATGACTAACTACGACATGTTTTTTCTAACCCAAGTGCTCTTTCAGCATATTTAACAATTGGGGTATTCTTAATCTTTGCCTTTAAGAGTTGAACTCGTATCCTGTCCCTAGTGTGTACTTTAAGGTTGGTGCACACCAGCGACTAGCCGCGGTCGCGCGACCATTTGCGACTGGCGACCAAATTGCGAGCGACGTTCACACCGGCAAGGCTTCATGCGAGCGACCGGAAGTCGCAAACCCGGAGAGTCACGTACAGATCTCGTTATCAACGAGAACTTGGGCGACCGGCGACGATCAGCTGATCAGATACGGAGCCCGCTGAGCGCGATGCGTTTGTTTTTGACGGCTGTGTGTGTGTGCGTTCTCCCGGCAGCATCATAGTCTTCGAGTCGAGTGATGAAGAGGTTGTGGCGGTGCTGATGTGCTCAGCCAACGTGTCAGCGCTGGAAGCACAAAAGCCTTCAAAGCAAGCAAGGCGGTGGTGGGTGAGACCGTCCCTTCGCTCGCGAGAAGTGCCTGGCCACACAGGGCGTCTGCTTCCCGACTTGCGCTCGCACGACGAGGAGTATTTCCGAGAGTAAGTTTATGGTTGTTTTACGTGCTTATAAGATAGTGCATAACATGTTATTTCATTCTATTTTTGGGGGTTAGCTTCATGCGGATGCCGCCACGAACGTTCGATACTGTGCTCGAACTGCTGCGCCCCGCAATATCCAAGCAGGACACAAACCACCGGCCTACAATTTCGGCGCACGACTGCCTGGCCATGACCATTAGGTAAGAGCGTGTGGTTTGAAGATCAATATGCTGTGGCTTGCGGCTGCGCTTCGCTTGTAAGGAAGTTTTGCTTGGGCGGATAGAACGAATTGCATTTATGACGTATGCTGGCTCGATGATGCAGTCGTTACTGCGGCCGGCAGTTTACGCGTAGGTGACGGGTTTGATTACGGCCGCATCGATCGCCTTTAGGTGGAGGCGAAATGCACTTTAAGTTGGCGCGTTTCTTGCGCACGTACGTTAAGAATCTCAGGTGGTGAATATTTCAAAACCATCTGTTGTGGCTTATTGCGTAATCAGTACGTGGTTTCCGCTTGTAAAATCCCAGAAAATGGGATTCTGCGCTACACAATGACATTACATTGTGGACCGGTCAGTTCCCGTTTTCTGTTATCCTGATGCACAGGTACTATATAGAACGCAATTATTAATGATGTTATAAAATAAGTGAAACACAATCCTAAGCTTTGCGAGTACAATTATGCACAAATTGTTAGGACAAATTGATGTGCTGTTCGAGGCACTCAAAGAGTATTCATGCCAAAAATATTTTCAGCATCGGGGAGGGAGGAAGTTCAACCAACCACCCTTTATGTATCTGCATGCACGACGGTGTGTGTTTGCACAAGTACACATGCAAAATTTCTCACAAACATGGGCAGCGTTTAACCCCTGAACCTTGCTACAATTATACGTATGTTCTGTTAAAATGACAGTGACCCAATACACTGTGGACAGTAGTGCAGTGGCAAAACGTATTGTGGACGGTAGCACATTGTGTGAAAGCAATTTGAACAATAGACTTGAGTGATGTACGTTTTGCGAAATAGGTTCTCCTTGAATTTACAGCTTTTCAGAAATCCATGCTAAGGAAATTGCTACAGGTACGTTTAGGTTGCCCTTCTTCAACCTGAGTGATATGAGCACGTACGCTCTTCCATGAAAAGGTTGATGCATGCTTATGATTCGCTAAAATGTGTAGGCACAGAAATATTCACTGCATATACGACAGCTTGCAGAGTGCACAAGCAGTGCGACCGTTCGCGACCAGTCGCAAATGGTCGCGCGACCGCTCCTAGTCGCCGGTGTGCACCAGCCCTAATTTGGTTTAACTGTACAGGGCAATCGTTCTCTCAAAAGTTTACAATGGTTTTGTCCAAATGCGAGCAGTTACTGACCTTGGCTGCCATGAAACTTGACATATCGAAATTTCTAAAGTTAGTCGGCAAATATGCATTCTATCAGAAGCTGTGATGATGTCGTAGAAAATAGACAGCAGAGGTAGCACTCATTAATACATAAAAATGAGGAACACTTTGGCAATGTAGCGTCATGACTACGACACTGAAATGCAACTATGCGTGAGATTTTCAAGCTCAGCATGCTCCTTTTACAGTGTGTGTCTTCCATCATGGCTGTGCCGACAGAAATTTCACATGGCACTTATGCGTTGTAGGTATGCCAAGGAAGTGCGAGATAGATTGGCGCACTACTTCGTCACAGACGGTCAGGTGCCTTGGCAGGACAAAGTGGTGAACAGCACTTGAGGCGTACAAGGTGAAGGTGGGTTGTAAATGCATTTTATTGCTTACAGAACTTATGTACATAGCATCTTCTTAAGCTAAACAAACAAGAAAAAAATCACCCGTGACACAACAGATACATTACAGGGAAAACTGTCATGTCCAAATATAACCATGAAAACACAAAAATAAATAATTCATGTTAAAATATTTGAGTTATTGCACGGTTATCGCTACAATTATCACAGAAATAAGTTGCCTTAAAGGGGTCATGACACCCAATTTTCAACCATAATGTGTATTGTATGAGCTGATTCTTGTATGTTCACATACAAGCTGGTGAAATTCGAGCGATTTGGTAAAGCTGCTAATTTTTAATTGCATATTTTTATAAACGAGCTAGTCGCCTGACAGTTGGGCAATACTGACGCACTCACTATCCATGACATCACGAACCGCTTGCTTGACAAGCTGCTGCACAGTGTGCATTCTGGCAGACGGTCGTGTTTTGTCATCAACTGCGTTTGCAAACAAATTTTTACGCATTGTTGAACTCTCCACTAAAGCTAAATGACTTCCAGGGGTCGAAACATGGCTACTGTGTCAGCAATGTAGCGCTGGTACTTGCAGCAAATAATTTCGGATGTCAAAATGGGTCCTGTGAATGTGCAATGCGTATACCATTTGCCATTGCTCCTTCGGCTTGTGACGTCTCGCACGCCATGACAAAATGGCGGTCACTTGTGGTAGGTTGAGTTTTAGGAGCCGAGCACTTTGACGGCATATTTTTGACTAAAATAATCTCTTAAGGCCCCTTTTCACACGTGTACTAGCACATTTTACTCTGTAGTTTTGTTTTTTGCTGACAACCGTCAATTGTTGAGTGACCAGTCATGACCCCTTTAAGTTAGGACTAGAAAAGTGAACACAAGATAAAAAAAGGTGGGTGTCATTGACTTTATATATATAAACACTTCAATTTGCTTCACTGCTCTGACGCAATTTTGCCTTTGCTTCATACAGCATCAGTTCTACTGCATGCATTACATCTTGTGCAATGTGCACTGGTAGCTCTCTGAGGCGTGCATCGGTACGTAGAGCGAAGAAACCAATGTTATCTTTTTTGATGACCCCCTTGTTCGCTCTGATGTGTTCAAGGTGCTCCATGCACGCTTGCGCCACAGCTTCATGGCTTGTGCCCTCTCCTGCATTGCTGCAAAGCAAGTGTGAATTGCGATTCATGCAAATGCTTTAAGGTTGCATTGTTACTTCATAAAGCACCATTTAGCAAAAAAAAACAGTGTGAGAACGACAAAGTAGAAACAGAAGAAACAAGACAGAGCACTGACTTTGAGCTAAGTTTGTGATTTTCGGCACTAAGAAAGAAAAAAATATAGAGCAACTGAAGCAAATTAAATAGCACACTTAAAAGATAAATGTGTCAATAGGGGGTCTACTTCTCTGTGAGAAATAAATGGGTTTTTGATCTTTGAAACGGACACTCGTGTTTTGGGACAGGGTGGTGATGTTCTGATATTAACGTCTAAATATTACGGTAGTTACATGGGTTCTGTCTGCCTTAGTATAAATGTGCCCACAATAAAAACATCAGTTTATCTCCCGTAACAATATTGTCACGGAGATGAAGTAAAAGTAATTGCAGCCTGTCGCTGATGAATACTTTGCTTTTTCAGAAATATTTGACGTTGTAAAATAACCACATTCACACAGAAACAATGCCTGTGCCCTCATGTATTCCGGTGTGCTTCTGTTCAGTGTTGAGTGCTGAATGTATTGAAAAAAATGCAGTGGTTTGGGCAAGCTAACGACCTGAACACCATCTTTCAAGCACGTTTGTATTTTTGATAATTTTGCAAAGTACAATCACCTAGTAATAAAAAATAATGTTTCTAGGTTCAAGTCCATGCGTGTACAGCTTCAAGTGCATGCACATGGTACCGAAAATTTTTGTGCATGCTCACCTCTCGTTAGCCTCTTCTGCTGTGATGTGGCTGCTGCAAGAGAACATGCACTATGTGATTCTGTCAGTGCTATCGTGTGCATCTTTAGAGCATTTTCACTGTTTTGCTACAATATAAGTACTTATGCTGCATTCTTGTAATGAATATGTGCAATGCTTGTCTATGAACAGCCTCATGACACATGCAATAAGCGATCTCTTTAGATTTTGTATTAAGCCTTCCTTCTTTTGATAAATGAGAGCCGAGAATGACACAGAAGTACACTCAATTCTCTCATTCTTACTGTTCTGTCTTCAATATTCTGTTTTGTGAAGCTGTCCACGTGCCACTTGTACGGTATGCTATATTTTTTGCGTTGTGCTGATGCATTGTGCTATGCTAACCAAAACGTTTCATTTTCTGTTCAATGGACGGTAAGCATTATTCATTACCTTTGGTCAATGGCACTCATGTTGCACAGTATCCAGAAAGAATGATGCACTGAGTTATTCTTCGTAGCTGTAGCCACAGTTATTCGACATCAAAACAGCCCATTGCCATCATGTTCATGATCACATGCATGCCCAATGTGAATTACCTCTTGGGACTTCTATGTTTATGTGCAGTGTACTTATGAGTATTGATATGTGAGTATTTATGTGTATGTATTACAGTCATGTGAATTAAATCAACTTTTTTTTTGTTTAGTACTCAATAGTCAGCTAATATTGAACTTACGCCACAGGCTCAGACTCTCCTTCCATTAATTCAAGCATGGCCTCAAAATGGGGCCATTTTATTGTTGGAATGTCGGCTGCTGCGGCTCCACTTCTTTGTTTTTTCACGTATGTCGTGTTGTTTCCTTTTGAAGATATCACGCAGGTTCTTAAATCGTTTCTCAACAAGGACACCTGAAAACAAAACCCTTGCTGTAGGAATGTATTGTGCATACTGTATCGCTGATAAATTTTCTACTTTATTTCAGCACAATTGTGAGCGGTCTTTATTTTCTTTGCCCAGATTATTTCGGCTGCAGCACCTTAGAAATCTGAATATTGGGCAACAAAATGAATCGCATGCCATCTAAACTTAACTATTGGTAGGGGCTTAAACATTGCAAAACCACGACATGATTGAGGGAACCTGCAGCCGAGGGTTCCAGAAATGCTACCCACCTAGTGTTTTGGACCGTCCACCTACATGTGCACGACATCACAGCTGACGCAATGATTAGTTGCGCAAAGAGTTATGTACACTGTTTCTTGAAGGTAAGCATGTCTGCCAAGCTATTGTAACAAAGAGGCTGTTCATACTGTCGGAAATTGAAGTTCACTTGCAAAAAGTCTATTTCATGAACCAGCACATGATGTCCTTATCACCTTCACAGTGAAGCTTTCTAAGCATTACTGCATTGCGCAAAACTCCACAGGTGCGTATATACCCTTGGTATAGGCCAAGCGCAACTGTCGTGTACAGCGGGAGCGATTGTTGTCAAACAAAAGCAAACATGTTAAATAACTTGAAAAGAAGAATGAAACTAACTAGAGCAAGATGACAATTTTCGAGAGAAAGAAATGCAACAAACATAATATATGACTCAAAGTGTAACATAGAGAGAGCGAGAGGAAGGAAAATATAGGAAAAGAAAGGGACCAAAACATGAAAACATACCAACACATAGAAGCAGACATGAAAAATTGACTTTAAAATATAGAAACAAAGAAAACAAACAAAAACGAGGCACAGTTGAAAGCGGAGAGATATAACCTCGGGGAATAAAATATAAAGGCACCAATAGACAAAAACACGGGAGAGGAAAGGAACAGTTGTGAAGAAATGAGGATTAGATTTGGGCCACATTACAGAGGAATAAATTCCCCCATCTGTGTTTTCCTTCAGTGTTCGCCCAGCCACTAGAACACTACCATATCTTTTTTTTTTACGATTGCATGTCATTTGGCATCAACAGCATGTCTGACTCCCAAATCCGGACATTTGAGAGTGCTGCTAAACATGTTTTTTATGTTTTAATTACACGCTCCTCTGTGGAGTGCACAAAATGCGCTCAAAGCAGAAGCTACTTTGCATTCTTTTTTAAAGCAGCACAACTGCAATGCATAGGCAAAATTAAAGCGTAACCCCCCCCCTCCCTCACCGCGCACTAGATATTATGCATTGCAAATGCCGCACGTTCACAAAAGCACACATTCCCTTGGCCAGACGATGACATACAAACACAGCAAGGAGCATGCGCAAGTGAGTTGGCAACTGCGAGCAGTATTTCGAATGTCTGAGCTTTATTATCAGCTATACAATGTTCTGTCACGTCGATTTCGATGTTAAACTCGGGAAGTCGCGAGAACAAACATGCACACAACTGCGCTCGCATACATCACAGTCAATACATCTCATGCAAACTAACCATGTAACCTTGCAGTACAAATACCAATATTTTCATTGTTCATTCATTGGCAACGCCAGCCATGCAGTACACACCTGTTTTTGCTTATATAGCTACTCAAACAAAAAATCTCGGTACTTACTCGACATGCCGAACATGCTTCGATCTGCCCAAGCCCGGTCCTTCTTTGTCCGATCTTTAAAAGAAGGGTGCCGCTTGTCATACAGATATGGGTACATTTTAGTCGCGTTGATGAGGAGCTCGGCCGAGTACCCAAAGCTGGCCGTGGTGGCATTCGCCTGATGCGAGGAAGAATCCATGGAGGAACGTACGTGTCGTTCGTACCTCACGGCGGTAGGCAAGCGCAACGAGAAAAAAAAATAACATACGAGGAGACCGGACGTAAACAAAGGCTGACGTCACTTCTGGTCTTCGCTGATTGGTTAAACTGTTTTGCGACTGCAGTCGCGCGACCAAAAAATCGGTCAGGAAGCGACTGGCCCAAACAGTCGCTTTGCGACCGCTTGCGACCGTTCGCGACTGCTTGCGACCAGTCGCAAATGGTCGCGCGACCGCGACTAGTCGCCGGTGTGCACCAGCCTTTAAGCACTTAGTGCATGCTTTTTATTGTATGATGCTACTCGAGAAGTTCAAATCGTGGATTACTGCAATGTAATCAATAAAGTGGCTTGTGGCAGTGAAGCTTTCACATGTTGCTGTATTCTGTGTAATGGGCAATCATGCACGCGAGGTCTTTTAGAAGTTGCAATGCACCCACTTTGTTGTGGCCTTTAGGCACAATGTGCCTTTTGTAGTGGGTGGCCAAGTTTAAACCACGATGTTGTTACAATAATCACGTGCTCTGACACCACGCATCATTACTGCGATATTACATGTTGTATTGTGAAGCACGTATGCAGGATGCACGTGTTTGTAAAGCATGAAAGTTACTTCGACTGCATTTCCAAGCAGAGGAAGTTATTTTCTCTGTA